CCCGGGCTCAAGCGAGTCTCCTGCCTCCGCCTCCCAAGTAGCTGGGACCACAGGCGCCCGCCACAACGCCCGGCCATTTTTTGGTTGCAGCCGTCACTGTTGTTTGGCGGGTCCGGGCTGGGGATTCGAACCTGCCACCCTAGGTGTACGTGGCTGGCGCCCTAGCCGGTTGAGCCATAGGCGTCGAGCCATGTTTTTCAATTTTGATGGCTAACATAATTTGGTGTTTTAAAAGGTCAGGGTTCATTTTTACATAAAAATATCTGGTTGAGTCATTTTAATTCTTTTTTTTTTTTTTAGAGACAGTCTCATTCTGTCGCTCTTGGTAGAGTGCTGTGGCGTTACAGCTCACAGCAACCTCCAATTCCTGGTCTTAGGCGATTCTCTTGCCTCAGTCTCTGCAGTAGCTGGGATATAGGCAACCGCCACAATACCTGGCTATTTTTTTGTTGCAGATTGGCTGGAGCTGGGTTTGAACCTGCCACCCTTGGTATATGGGGCTGGCACCCAGCCACTGAGCCACAGGTGCCGCCCTTTAGTTCATTCTTTGCCCTTTAATTCATTCTTAATGGCTATAGTTATTATTTCTTAATTGTCTGTTAGGAATTAAATTAATGGTTTTACCGTGCTAAAATAGTTGATAGAGAAATAATTGTCTATTACTCAAATGGGCAACATGGGTTTTTTTTAAATCATACAGTTAATAAATGGTAATGTTACAAATACACTTTATTTTATGTTAAGGAGAATTGACATCTCTCCAAGCGCCCTGAGGAAGCATACCCGTTTAGCAGGGGAAGAGAGAGTTTTTAAAGAAGAAAATCAAAAGGTATGTTTTTGAGTGCACATTTTTTCAAATTAAGTTCAGCCTAGTTAATATACTAAATACAGTTTCTCAAGGCAGGGTGTTTACAGATATCTTCTAATTATAAATACATCATATATATTTATGACAGTGTATTCAGTGTTCCTTCCTAGAAGAATTAAGCTGACACTAAACTTTCTTAAGTCAAATGAAGAATACTTTTTGAAAATGCTAGTGAATGGAAAAATTAGTCCTAAGAAGAAGATGAAGAGTCAGTGACTGGGCAGAGGGACAAAAGCAGAGATACAAATTTTATCAAGGGTTTTGAGGTAAAATGGATAAGCCAGAATAAATAAATACTCTAATTTTGTGTGTGCCTGAATTGATTAGATTCTTCACAGATAACAAGAAGTAATCCCCATCCTAATGGGTATTTTGTGGATTATGAACTGTGCTTCCTAAGAATTGATTTTACAAACGGATTTTTCAAGTAAAAGTGTATTTATCACTATTGGAATATTTGTAGGTTGGGGGAATGGCTTTTAAACTTGAGAAAGGAGCCAAGCATTGAGAGGGCTTGGTGAGAATGGAATTCAGTGGTTAAAGGGAATTCTGTTTGTGATATTTTAAAATTGACATTTGCTAGGTAGACTAACTTATATCACAGGCCATAAAGTGTCTACTGTGATAGTAGAAATACAGGGAAAGGTAGAATGGGAGCAACTATCCATTGTTTTGAAAAGGTTAGGGAACTTGGGAGTACTGTTTGGTTTCATTTCTGACCATCAAAAAGAACTATGTATGGTTCTTTTTGTATGATAGTTGGAAAATGATTTTTCAACCTTAGTTTTATAGTTAGAAAAATGAGAATATATTTGTGGAGTTGTAGAATAATTGGGGCTATCTTGAAAGCATTGACACTTTTCTTAGTACAAGCTGTTATTGACAATGGTGGCATACAAATTGTTTCATGGGGTATACTGTTAACTTACTGGATGTGGAATCTTGAGCTTACAAAGAAAACTATTCCTTTGCATGGGGCATACTGATTTTGAAAAAAAAAATTCTGAGAGGTGAATACTTTTTTGGCTTTTAATACCTTAGGTTCAGTGTTGGTTAATTTTGTCTATCTTGATTAGAGAGTATTTTTCTTGTTTCTTTATTACTTAAACCAGATTTTGATCTGGAGGAGAAAAAGTGGAGATGACTGATGTATGGACAAGAGGATATGACATTGGTTTTAGCCTTTATCTTGCTATTTGAATGAATAATTAACACATTAATGTATAATATATATTATATAGTTTGTAGTTTACAGAGTAGTTCCACTTACATTATCTTGTTACTATGGACTTGGTAATATGTAGGTGAACAGGAAGTTTTTTGTTCTTGATTAGAGTTTTTCTGTAGTACCTTGGGAGCAAATTGTTGAGTAGTTGATATCATTCAGTGATACATTCAGTTTTATGAATGCTAATGAATGTTATAGACTTCCCTGAATTTTTAAGTACTTCTTACTGTTGAAGGATGTCCACATTGCTTAGCATCTTACTGATGTATAATTTCTCTTCATTCCTAGATGCCTCTTTCCATCTTCCTAAATTATATAGTATTTGAAAAAGCAATGGAACAAGAAGGAGGTGAATTGTGACCCAGTTTAAACTAATGTCCGTTGCAATACCTGAATTGAAAAAGGGCAGTATATGGCCCAAGATACTGAGTACAGGATTGCGAATACTATATTTCTTGTTTTGTTTCTGCCCTTGTTCAACATCAATTGGTTTCATTAATCATATTCCACTTGCATGTTACAAAAATTACAAAATTCTTCACAAGTGTTTTTTTTTTTTAATTGGGTTGGTCAAATTATTTGGGAAGAGCTTTGATGATAATGAGGCTTGATAATGAGAATTACGTTAGTATCCTTTAACTTTATAGATGGAAGGCTATGTCACAACTATGGATTATAACCTCTATCATTGTTAAACTATTAAAATCATTTGGAAAGATGAGGGATAATTAATGAAGATGTGCTGAGTGGAAAAATACTTGTATTATTTTACTGTACAGGCATTTTTGTGGATTGTTTTGAATGCAACAAATCTATAGCTTTAAGAAACTTCAAGTCCTTACTGCAGTTTCTGTACACAAATGTTTTGTAAAAACACTCAAGTGTATTTTTAAAACAAATTTAGTGGTAGTAGTATATGATCCATTTTTTTTTTTGGATACTAAAATGCCAGTTAATAAACTGGCATAAAATTTAACTTTCTCTGTATTATTTTTTTTTGTTTTTCCTCTGAAATCTGCATTTTACATCTTTTTATAGGGAGATAAAAAATTAAGGTGTGATTCTGCTGATCTTCGACATGACATTGATCGCCGTAGAAAAGAAAGAAGTAAAGAACGGGGGGATTCCAAGGGCTCCAGGGAATCCAGTGGATCAAGAAAGCAAGAAAAAACTCCAAAAGATTACAAGGAATACAAATCTTACAAAGATGACAGGTAATTGTTAAAATTGTCTTGAGTTAGGTTTTAGCTTCTAATTAGCCTTTAATAATTGTCAGCTTAATTGCTTTCAATTTTGACTATGTAATCGAATGTTTAAATTTAAACAATTAAAATTATTTGTTTTACAGCAAAAATGTATTTGTCTTTTACACGGCTTATGGTGGATGAGGACAAAAACTTTGGAATAGCAAGCTAACACTGAAAAAAAAAATGACAAATTAATGTGTCCTATTATCCAGGCTACATCAGGAGGTTGGACTTCAATGCAGTGCATTTCTAGAAACAGTTTGTGTAAGAACTTTGGTTCGTTATGCTTGATTCCGCACTTTTTCAACTCATAACACCCAGAGTACAAGAATTATAAAACTGATAAATCTAGTGGTTTAACATGGGACAGATGGGGGGGAGGAAGGACTAGAAATAGCAATGTGTATTAGTCTTTCAAAATATTTCCATGGATACTGTTAGCAGTGGTAAGAGTTTACAGCAGGTATGACCTTTTCAAGTGTTGTATTAGAATCATGTAAATTTGATTATAGAGTCAAATAGGAATACAAAGTTTTACTATAGATAATCTTTTCTTCTTGGTATTCATTAGGTAAATGGTGGATTTTACTTGTGTTTAAAATCATGACTGTTATTTGTAAAATGTCGTATGCTTTTTTTATTTCTATAATGATACTATGGCCCATACCATACCAACTGTTTTCACCCAGGGTGTACAAACTGCAGTCATTTTGAAACGTGGCCTTGAGAACATTCTTCCTTGTTGCTACTCTTCTTTTCCTTTTGTTAAAAGAATAAAAGATTATATAAGTTAACTTAAAAATATTGAAGAACTAAACCTTATTCTTGAAATTTACAGACTACTAGTTTCTAACTAGCAGGCCATGGCATGCTTTTCAGTAGTGATGTAAAGCACGTATTGGAAGAGAATGGAAACAGACTGGTCAAACACCCAGTTATTTTACTTATGTTACAATTTTACTAGTAGATAGTATTTTTTGACTTGAAAAACATCCCTTTTATTGTAAGTTTCAGCCAGGTCTTTTATCTTTTTAAAAATAACATTTTTGTGTGTGTGTTCTTTATTTCTTTTGCAGTAAACATAAAGGTAGAGAGCAAGATCATTCTCGATCTTCATCATCTTCAGCATCACCATCTTCTCCCAGTTCTCGAGAAGAAAAGGAGAGTAAGAAGGAAAGAGAAGAGGAATTTAAAACTCACCATGAGCTGAAAGAATATTCAGGCTTTACAGGAGTTAGCCGACCACGAGGAACCTTTGTAAGTAATTATCTTTGATCATTTGATAGGACTTTAGAGTACTATATATAAAGAAAAGTCAAATACATGATTTAGAGATTGTTATATGAGCCATTCCTAAAGTCAGGGTTACTCTTGAGAAATGAAATGGTATTTGAAGTATTGTGTTACTTAAGAAATGCCATTTTGAGATATAGAAACATCTCTATAAATAACACTTGACTTTGAGATCAGTAATTTTATATGGTCCTTAAAGACACGTGAGTCAAGGAACGTTACTGAGATATACATTTCTGGCTCGGCACCTGTAGCTCAACCAGCTAAGGCGCAAGCCACGTACACCTAAGGTGGCGGGTTCGAATCCCCAGCCCGGACTCGCCAAACAACAATGATGGCTGCGACCAAAAAATAGCCGGGCGTTGTGGCGGGCGCCTGTGGTCCTAGCTACTTGGGAGGCGGAGGCAGGAGACTCCCTTGAGCCCAGGAGTTG